GGCTGATTTCTCCGTTTCCTCCATCACCGAGGTGCGAGCCCAAAGCTCGATCTCTATGAGCCTCCCAGTTGCGCTATGAGCCACCCGCCCAAGCACACGTGGCTCAGCTGCGTACTTTTCTGATGAATTGAACTATGAATTATGTATTCACGTGGTGTTCGTGCCCCATACTAGCCGGAGTCTGCATGACAAGGGAGGAAGGGGCCGTGGCTGCAGGTGTGGGTCAAGCCGATGAGTGACGGCGACTAATGAAATCTAGTCTTGATGCAATCTCGTCGAACTCAGTGATGGTGTTGGACTTGTGTCAAGGTGTCCGCGACTGTAAGTCGGGGTGGTCGTGATTTGATGCCTCACACTTTGAAGTGAATGAGCAATTTTCACGTGTGTGTGGTATAAATACGCTATGATAATGGTGCACTCATGCCGTGCAAGTGACAGCATGATGCTGCTTGGAGGCAAACAGTCACAACCGCCGTAAACTCAGGCCTCAGCCACCACTTGCTGATGGGGTTCCATGTAGACACCAGCCGCAGCCGTCGCATGTGGAAATCTGAGGGCCCACAGACCCTAGTGCGACATGGGTTCAACTTGCTCTGTGCACTCTGCTGCTTGCCACACGCTCACTACAGCATGCCCGTGGTGAGATGGCAGCGGCCAACCACAACTCTCATCAGGTTATACTAGGAGCTATGCTAGTGTCAATACCTATTGTTGCTTGACGACTTGTTGAACTGAACGGATACCTCAACTACTGATGGCCGGTGTATGCATGCAAACGTCTCGACTGCAGAGCAACGCGATTCGCACCGCCCTTGATGCGCAGACTGCCAAATGGTTGCAACCTCGCCCGCACAATCATCCACCCATAGTTGAAGCATGCAACAAATAACATGTGATTAAGATGTCTTAAACATGCAACCTTATGACTAGCCGATCAAACCTTCCACTGGCCTGCTTCCACTAGTGCTTGCCCTCCATCCGCTGGTAACGGCGTTGGCACACGATCGCTGACGTCCAACCGCAGCTCAGCACGAGCGCAACCAGGCCACGGCCCCCGCCCCGCACTCGGCACCCATGGATCGCTATCGAAAAGCCATTCAGACAGCAGCGACCACCGCGCAGCCTTGCTGCCCGGCACCCGCCCACCTTCACTGGCCCACCATGCCAACTGGCAGATGGATGGACACCAACCGGCGAGCCCTGACCCCCTGGCTGCAGCGTAGAGGGCAGGTGCACACTGTTTTCCGTCACCCGCCAACCCCTGCGCAAGGCACCCCAGCCTCCGGAGTTACAATGTGCAGTGGCACAGTGCGAGGAAATGCAACGTCTGGCCCAGGAGGCGCGCGGATGAGCGGATATCCTTCACTGCAAAAGTGCAGGGTTTGCTGCGGCGTGGACGGGCTCCCTTAGGCTACGCGGCCCGCCCTGCCTCTTGCGGTGTCAGCGATTGGACACGCATCCTGTTGACAAACGCACATCAACACGCGGCGGCAACGAGGCTTTGATGACAATGCATGGAAGATGTGCAGATGCATGTTGCACGAGATGTGACAAGTGCACTGCACAGGCGGCGCACGAGGATCGGAGAACACAGGATCCCGCAAGGTTTGCAATAGGGTATGTATCTGGCAGGCGTTGCGGCAGCCGCTGGCTGGCACGAGCTGAATGGCAGCACCGGCCCAGCAGGCTCAACGGCGGCGCCCTCAGACCAGTCCGATGGGAAGCGCAGGCGCTGAACGCACAGACACAAACAGGTGCAGAAAACCAAGCCACAGCGCCAAACGTTGGGTGCAGTTCATGGGCGTTGGTTCTGACAGTGCCTTTAAGAACGGCCACGCAGATGCCCACTGCTTGTGCGGGAATGAGGGCGTGCGGAGCGGAGCAGTGTGCAGCGCTCTCTCTCGAGCCACAAGGCATCCCCAAGGCCCTGGCACCAAGGCAAATGCTCCGGAAGCAGATTATTCAGCCACACCGAGCCCAGCTTTGGTGCTGGGCGTGCGACAGCAATCGACGCCACAGCGGCAAGTGCACAGGCATTGCCGCGTCACGGATAAAAGCGACAGGCGTGCGTGGAGCGCTGCAGCAGGCCGCTCGAGCAAGTCAGCACGTCGCAAGCTGCACTGCGAATTGCACGCGGACAATTTCAAGGCGGTATTTGCAGAGACGAGACCGCAGCGAATTGTGCACACGGGTGCCTTGGGATGTGCTGCTGCGGGCACCATTATTGCGGCAACGACCTGGGCCTGGTGATGTGACCAACAAGTACCCACCAAGAACTCCTGCGAGAAGATCCAACGACGCAACGATTGCGGCCCATCACCGCGCAGTGTGCTCCCTTGCACGACGCCGCTGTGGGCGCACGCAAGGACGAGCAGGCAACGGTTTGCCGGGACCCGGCGTGTCGGCGGCGCCTGGCGGGTGTCGCCGTCTTTGCAGCAAGGCAAGGGATCCCTGCCAAACGCGGCGCCGCTCTGTGCGATGCTGAAACATGCACCTTGCCTAATTGGTGGCGTCCAGAAAGTAGCGGTCCATGGGGCTGTCATCAACCTCCATCATGAGATCAGATGCCACCTGATCTGGGCACAGCATGTCGCCCCTGAATCTGTGATCTGTCAGCATCTGACCGCTGTGGTGGCTGGGGAGCGGTGGCGGCGGCGGCGAGGCGGCTCGCGGCGCATGGCGGCCCGGCAGGTGAGCCGCAGGGGCAGCAGGCGGCGCCGGCGTGCCGGTGCTGGGCGCGGACGACGCGGAGGGCGCCCGCGCGAGAACCGGGAGCGAGTGCACGCGAGAAACCGGGCCGCCCATGCAGCCTGCCGCAGAGCGAGCGAGCGAGGACGGCGCGGCAGCAGCAACGGCCGCGTTTGCGACGGCCAAACATGGCCAGTCCTGCAACATCAGTGGCAGCTGGTCGCCGTGCGGCCATGAGGTCATGCCAGGTGTCCATGCGGTGGGCACGGCGGGCATAGAGGGGCTACGGCCCAGAGGCTGGTGGTGGTGTTGGTGCAGGGAGTAATGCAGCCCCAGCCCCAGATCTCGGTACGGCTCGAGCTGCTGCTGTTGGTCCTGCAGCTGCAGCTGCTGGTGCTGATGCCGCTGCTGCTGTTGCTGCTGCTCCTGGTGGTGGTACTGCCACGGGCTGCCACGTTGCTCATACAGCAGGGGATTGGCCGCCGACAGCTGCAGGTTGGGCGGCTTTGAGGCAGCCCCTCCAGCTGACATACCCAGCCCTGGGCCCTGCGGGCCGCCTCTGTCGAGCACGGACTGCGCGGCAAGCACTGAGGCGGCCGCGGCGGCCCCGACGGGCTCGTCGCCCGTGCCGCACGCCGGCGTCGAGGGAAAAGCGGCGTAAGAAGGCCGCGGGCGCGCCAACGGCGGCAGCGCGGCGGAAGCAGGCCGTGCTGGCAGGCGTGCGTCCGAGGATGGCGAGATCCAGGAGGGCGGCAGGCCAGCAGGCAGCTGGGAACCCAGAGCGTCGCCAGTCACTGGCAGGATGGGCACAGAGACGCAGCGCCCCATGCCCGCTCCCGTGCAGTCCGCGCTGCCAAAACCGCCGAAGGCTGCGTCGATGAACCTTGTATGCGCGTCCGAGCCGCCGCCGCCTCCGCTCCCGCCGCTCTCGCCACGCGAGTGCCAGCCGCTGCTGCTCTGCAGACCCAGGCTGCCGCTCCACGTGCGCTGCGCAGCCAGCGCTGCCACGGCCGGGGTCGCGGCTGCGCCTTCCCCGCGGCACTGAAGAGCGGTTGCTGAGAAGCTGCAGCCCGATCCTGTAGTCACGGTACGCGCCACCCTGGATGCTGGCGCGAGCTCAACCCCCATTACGAGCCGGCAGCTCCCGCACGGCGCGTCACCAGTGGCCCCTTGCTCTGCCGTTGCCAGGGCTGTAGCAGCCGAGGCCGTCTGCGGAAACAGGCCATGCTGATGTGAGTGCGACCGAAGCAATTGGAGCAGCAGCTGCTGCTGCTGCTGCTGCTGCTGCTGCTGTTGCTGCTGCTGTTGCTGTGCCTGTGCGAAGGCTGACGCCCCCGGCGTCATGGGCGGACGCGGCGACAGCAAGGCTGGAGGAGGGGGCCCCGCAAAACCACCAGCGCCCATGCCGCTTGAGCATGCGGCCCAACCTGAGGCTTGTGCCCAGGGCGCAGCAGCGGCCAGCGCGGTGCCTGGAAGGCTGCAGGCCTCGGCTGTGGAAAGTGATGCCGGGGAGTGGCTGTCCGCTATGGGAACCCCGAGCAGCAGCGGCGGGGAGTTCGCGCCCTCGCGCACGGCCAGCTGCGTAATATGGGTGGCCGGCGACAAGCTGCTGAGGTGGCCACTACCGCCGCCTTCGCCGCCGCCGTCGCCGCCGCCGCCGCTCGGTGCAGGCTGCGGCGCCCCCGCCGCTGCCCCGCCTGCCCGCTCGGGGTCTGCGGGCTGTGCTACCACCGGCAAGGGCGGGCGCAGCCGAGATTCCCGGCATCCGCTCCCTGCCAAATGCTCGTGCTCCTCCAAGCCAAAGCTGCTGCCGCCGCAGCTGCTTCCGCCAGATGCTGCGGCCTCGCCCTGCTGATCCTCCTCCCCCTCCTCCTCCTCCCCCTCCTGTCGTTCCAATTGCGCTCCCTCAACGCCTGCTTGGAGATGCCGGCGCCTGGTGCGCCGCGGCGGCGAATCCTCGCTGCGCGCTGCGCGTGTGCCGCCAGAGTCCAGTTCACTGCTGTCGTCGCCGCGCGGCCGCCGAGGGGCCGTCACCGGCGCCCCCTCCTCGGCCGCGGCGCCGGCTGGGGCGGGTGGGGGCGCCCCAGTAGAGGCGTCCTCAGGGGCGGAGCGCCGCAGCCCTGGCCGCTTGGACACGCGGCCTCCGGCGACACCGGGAGTGTAGGCGCTGTCGTTTGCCTGCGTTAAGTGGGCGTCAAAGGGCAGACACCCCTGAGCCATGTGTTTGTTTGCACTCGTTCAAGCCCGACGCATATGGAAAACGAGCACTGGTGCTTGCGGCACGCTGCAAGCAGCCTGCCTGCAAAGCCCGTTCAGAGCAGCGCCTGGGCGCACAGCCTCCTCCAAACGCGCACCTTGTGGCTGCGGCGGACGGCGGCGGCTGCGGTGTCTCGTACGCCCTCAGGCTCCCTGTTGGCCAGCAGCCACTCCAGGGTCGCGCCTTGCTCGATAAACCTTGGGGGTTGAGGGCGTGGGGTGTCGCGGAGGAGTGCCGGAATGTCATCAAGGCAGGTTGCAAAGCCTAAAGCCCCTGCATCAACCACAGGGCAGGCAGGCTGGGTAGCTGGGCGGCGATGCAGGCTCCAGCTGCTGTGCTTCGCCTGGTCGACTCGTTGGATCATGGGTGTCCTGCTGTGCATTGACATAACCCCTGTGCAGCACCAGTAGGCAGCACGCGCAAAACACAGACGCACAAGCACATGCACACACACACACACAGACGCACGCGCGCACACACATGCACACGCACATGCACACGCACGCATGCACACGCACATACGCGCACACACATCGACGCACGCACGCAAGCATGCACACGTGCATTCGCCCCCACTCTCATTCCCCTCTGACCACAACCACCAACTGCTCACCTGTTCTGCAGCGTCCCCGCGAGCGCCTTGCGCTTGAGTGTGGCGTGCCAGTGGTTCTTGACCGCGTTGTCGGTGCGGCGCTCCAGCAGCCGCGCGATGGCGGCCCACCTGTTGGTGTAGCACTCCTGGGCTTGGGCCTGGGGGTGGGTTGGGCCGGAAGAAAAGCATTCTTAAATGGGGGAGGCGGCTCGCAATTGACAAGGTAATTTTTTGGGGACAGGTAGAGGGCTGGAAAGAGATTTTTTGTGGGTCAGTGATGTCGCCCAGGAGCACCGCAACAAGCGTCATCTGAGGCGGGCCCAAGGGCAGTGAGCAGGCCGTGCTCTGCAGCCGCTACGGGGGAGCGAAAAGACGACACAAGTATTCAGGCTCATGAAGCGCCACGCTGTGTCCCGAAACGGCTGTGTCTAAGGTGGCCCAGGCGGCTTGTAGGTCGACGGCGCTCATAAGGCTACGATCTCCCGCCACTTGCTTGCCCCCTTCTCTTCACGAGCGTTTGGCGGCCCGCCGAGCACGCACCGCCACGATCACAGCCTGTTCCCATTCGCTGAAGCACCCCTTGTTGAGCTTGGGGTCAAGCTGGTTGGTCCACCTGAACGAACACCAGGGGGCGCAGCGCAATGGGGGGGGATCATCGGCAGCGAGCGCTCGAGCACGTGCCAGCTGGATCACGGCCGGAAATGTGTGACCTTCAAAGTGTCCCTGAGCTCAGCGTCTGCCTCAGCCGGCGGCGTCGCGCCCGTCCGGCCTCGGAGGGCGCCATACAGAGCTGAGAAACGTGACAATACTGGGACGGGTTGTGTGAACTGGGTTTGAGAATGGGGGCCATGCAATTGGCTGCTTGACAAAAAGCTGTCGCGCCGCGTGCCGCAAGAGCATGATCGCGCGCGCGCGCACCGCAAGCGGCAGCTTTTGCCGGATCTCGATCCACCAAAACGCTTCTCGACCGCCGTCCATGACCTGGTGCCCAGCTCCCTCACTAGCTGGCATAGCAGGGTGTCTTCCTGGGGGAGGTGACGCGCCGCACTGCAATAATGTGGCGCTGGGCCGCGCGTCGCAGCCGCGTCTGGCGGCAGCAGCTGGGCCCCACTGCCATCCCCATTTCTGTGAAATTTTACTACGAGCCCTGTTACTTGCCTTCGACGTCCAGGCCCCCTGTCGCCGGTCCTTCTCCGCCATCGGTAGCCGGAAGCCCGGCACTTGGTCATGTGCTTATGTAATGGATCACAACTATGAGAATGACATCCACGCCCTGGAGCGTAACACTTTGGATGGCGGAGTGACACGGCTTGAGTCAATGGTAACCCTCGATGTGCGCCTTGGACATCAGCGCCGCTGCAGACGGGAATGCAGGGTACTGGTTCCTGAGGCCTGCAATTGCGTTAGGAATTTACGCAAGAGTATCGCGCCACAACATTTTGTTTGGGTCGCAGACGCTCAGCCAAACAGCAAACGCTACGTGAGGCCCGCAATTAGTAGGATTGAACCAGCATGAAGTATGCAAGCCTGCCTACAGAGATTAAGGGGCAGCAGTGCGCGCCTTTGGGCGTTGGATGCTGTGTTGAACAGGAGAGTTTCATCCATGGCGAATAAGAAATCCAAACAGCTGCAGGCTACTGTATGACGTTGGACGACACCAGTGCTGACACACATGACAGCTGCTCAGGTGATTCGAGCAGGTGCTTGCCAAGGTGCCCCTACATATACGCCAGCTGCGCCTGTGTGTTGATGCGTCGTCCTGCATTTTAGCATAAACAAGGGGTTACTCGCGGACACGCCGGCGCCCTGGGGATTGGCTGTCTGCATCCCCGTCAATGTGGATGCCGAAGTGCTTGGATGCACAAAGTTGGTGGTGCATTCGCTCAAGGCGGCATGATGAATGTGTCACAAAGGGCGCGGGAGAGGGTTTCCACAGCATGCTGTGCGAGCACTGGACACATGACGCACTGGTTGCTGCGGAAGTGCGAAACGGCTGTGGCGCCAAGAGACCAGACAGCAGAGGCGCATGGATGGCGCATTCAACTCTTGAATCTTACGTGATACTGTACCTATTTCACAGCGACGCTCCGCGCTTCACAAGTTTCGCAAGCTTTCAAGATCGAAATCGCGTCTCAACACTACTTCCACGACAATTGGAAAGCAAGGCTGATGCACAGCCGTCTGGCATCGCAAACTTTTGGGACCCAGCTGCCAGCTGCTCCGCGTCGCGCTGCCGCAGCTACGCGCGCTCTTCAGACCGCAAAGCCACCCTTCCGAGGGCAGCGGCCGCGTCGGCGCCGAGCAATGCACGCGGTTGCTGACTTGCGAGCCACTCTGGACACGCTCGTCACGACGGGAGCCGTAGCGGTCGGGGTGGGAGTCACTCTCCTGGCAATCTTTGCCGACCCGCGGCCCAAGGCCAAGGTGAAGGAGGAGCAGGACAACAGTTTCAAGTGGGGCCTTATGGGCGGCATCAGCTGCCTGCCCCTGTTCAACTGGATGGTGAGCGCACGGACGCTGCGATGGCGTTGTCACCTTCACGCTCATATTTGGGATCAAGTGCAGCGCGCGGGTTCATCCGCTTGCAAAAGGGCGGGGGAAAGGGGCGTTCCATTTTCCTGTTGGCGTGCAACCTGTGCAGCGCCACGACCTGCGGGTGGCAGGCATGCAGCGCAGGGAGCATGAGTGAAGGCGGCTGGTGGGAACATGCGACAAAGGATGAGCTCTGCCGCCTGTCTGCGCCTCTTGCCGGCACCTCACTTGGCTCGTTTTCGCCCCGCTGCCTGCGCTGCGTCGTTCACCCCCTCGCCTCCAAATCAGTCCTGGGTGCTGGCCGCACTGGAGGATGAGGAGCGGGCGCGTGTCTACTATGCGTTCGCGGCGCTCTACGCGGTGCCCCTCCTGCACAGTGGCTTTGACATCGATGGATTTTCAATCACCATGCTGGCTGTTGGCGCGGCGCACGTGCAGGTGAGCGGGGTGTGTTGGCCGCCGCTTTTTGCTGCGTTGTGGCAGAATCACAGCAAACAGCGGAGACATCTTTTACAACATTAACGTATCACATGCTGGGTATCTGCATGCATCCATGCACTCATGTATGCATTCTTATGGTGTGTGTTGACACATCCACACTAGAGTAGTTTGTGAGTGTGTGTGTGTGTGTGTGTGTGTGTGCGTCTGTGTGTGCGCGTACGTACGTGCGTGCGTGCGTGCGTGCATGCGTGCGTGCACGCGCACGCGCGCGCGCGCGTGTGTGTGTTTGCTTGGGTGTGATGAATGCCCAACATTGTATATACATGTATGCGTGTAAGTTGTGTGTTTTGTCGGTGCCGGCAAAGCACACGTGTTCGCGCGTGCTCTCACGCTTCCTTACCCCACCAGGCATCTTTTGGCTTTGAGAGTCCTTCTGCACAACTGCCCGACGCCCCGCATCCTGACCACCCTCCCTTTTTCTCGCGATCCAACAACATGCGTGTTGTCATCATTCCACAACAGGCCGAGCGCATTGCGGCCACGGAGCCTGAGACCCAGTCCACTGTCGCGCGCGCCCTCGCGCCCTTCAGCATCCTCAAGACCATCGCCACTGCCTCACGCGCCGCCGCCGCCGCGCTGGTCGGCCCCGGGGCGGCGCGTCGTGGGGAGCTGCCGCCTGGCGGCGGGCGCGGCTGGGACGAGCTGGTGGAGAAGGGCCGGGACAGAGAGCCAGAGGCGCTGCAGAAGACGCGCAGCGACGAGATTGTGGAGGAGATCCAGGCGCGGGAGCTGGCGGAGTTTGACCAGCGGCTGCGGGAGCGTGATGCGCGGCGGCAGCGCGGGGGCGGCTGACGAGAGAGCGGCTTGTTTGCAAACGTGATGGACGGCCCCATGGTCTGGGACAGAGAGACCAACCTCTCGGCCCTCGCAGTGGGCCCGACTGGTTTGTCTCTCTGCCACAAATTGTTGACCTGAACTCAGCACGCATTGAAGATGTACAGACAATTTCGCAGTCCTGCCACTCGCTGGGTGTGTGGCACATGCATTTCAATCAGTTTTCGAGTGTTCATGCGAATCATCTATGAGCTTGACATATCTGAGTTTGCAAACAGAAGTTTGACTGGTCAACAACAAAGGGACCTTGCGTCGCCTCGTCCCGCCGTGCTCACTGCGGCTGTCGTGATATCGACCCTGAGGCTTCCTTATCAGCGGCTGCTTTACCGCGCCTGCCTGAGCTCTGCTGCACCCAGTGCCACTGTCTCGTGTGGCTGCTGCGCTCGAAAGGTCACCATTAGCACTGAACGGAGTAAAACACCTCTGCTATTGCAAAGCATGTTGTTGCAAAGCGTGTTGTCGTGTCAACTGTCAGCGCATTGCTCATCAATCATGACATCAGCCGCCCTCCTGCACTTGCATGCCCAGTGCAGCCACAATCTTGGCCTGTGCAGGACGCACACACAAAACACCCTTGGTCGCATCATCTGGGTCTGTCCATGTGCGGCCTGCATCGTGGCGCCGTGGTGGGTCCCACCATCGCTGCGGGCACCTGAGGCAGCGCGCCCAGCACACGCACACGCACGCACAACACGCGCATGAACAGCACAGATAGCAGCATGGAACTGGAGAACGGCAACCACCAATAAATTGTGTGTGGTGCGAGGGTGGGTGCATGAAGAGACCAGAGAGCAGTCGTGCCTTCCAGAACTCGACTGCCCGGCTCTTTTTACCCGCTCTTCTTTGTTGCTCGCTCACGTAATTTGTTTACCTTTCAGCTGTGTTCAAAAATCTCACGTCTTATCAGCGAACAGCTCTCTACCAGCGGCGTAGCTTTGGCCAGCAGCAGCAATGCAGCACACCTCGATGCGTTCGCAGCTCGGCAGCCGGGCCCCGGGGGCTCGTATGGCTGCGAAGGTGGCACCCAAGGCTTCGCGCCGCACCCGCGTCACTGTCCGCGCCGAGAAGGTGTGTGTGCCGGCGTGCTCCCTCCTCCGCGACGCTGGCGTCATTGGGCCCTTTCGCGCGGGCTGAGGCCTCCGATTATGTCGCGTGCATTTGTTAATGATCCATGGAACCGCTGGCTGGCCCATCCCTTTCATCCGCCACAGGTTGTGGGCATTGATCTGGGCACCACAAACTCGGCCGTCGCGGCGATGGAGGGTGGCAAGCCCACCATCATCACCAATGCTGAGGGTGGCCGCACCACTCCGTCGGTGGTCGCTTTCACCAAGAACGGTGATCGGCTTGTTGGCCAGGTGTGCACACTTCATCTGACCGGCGGGCTGGGCCTGGGCGCGAACGCAGGCACAGCAGCACAGCTTGCAGCCACACCGCATCCATGCACAGCCCACCTCCTGCTGTTGTTAAGGGCTGCTTGCATGTCACTGTCACAGATGTACTTGGTAATTCTTATGGCTGCTCGAAGGTGCAGGGTGCCCACCCCTCAAGACTGGTTTCACCCACCCCTTGCTCCTGCCTTGAACCTCCAGCCCAACTCCCAGGCGCCACCCGCCCGCCTAGAATCACCTTGCTCACTCCCTGCGTCCGCACGCCCTCTCCAGATCGCCAAGCGCCAGGGCGTGGTGAACCCCGAGAACACCTTCTTCAGCGTCAAGCGCTTCATCGGCCGCAAGATGAACGAGGTGACCGACGAGTGCAAGCAGGTGCCCTACCAGGTCCTGGAGGACTCCAGCGGCAACGTGAAGATCAAGTCCTCCAACGCCGGCAAGGACTTTGCGCCCGAGGAGATCAGCGCGCAGGTGGGCGGCGCGGTTACTGGTGATCCTGGCTGGGTTGCGCGACGGCCACCACGGAGGCGCTATCACGCAACCAGGGAGGTGCTGTTGAGGCTGCTGCGGTGTGGTGCTGAGGTGTGGGCGGTGGTGAGAACAGCTTCGGGAGTAGCTGAACCTCAGCAGAAACAAAAAGCCGGGTGAAGAAAAGCATTGCTGGTGCATTCTCCCACGCTCACAGCCTTGCCACCCCTGCCGCTGCGTCGCTCCAGGTGCTGCGCAAGCTGAGCGGCGACGCGGCCAAGTTCCTGTCTGACTCTGTGGACAAGGCCGTGATCACCGTGCCCGCCTACTTCAACGACAGCCAGCGCCAGGCCACCAAGGATGCCGGTGGGTGGCGTGAAAGAGTTGGTTTAGTAGCTGAATGTGGGATGGGTCTACAGCAAGCTGGCTGTTGGAGAGCAGGCATGTCAGGACGTACAGGGTAGATGGGAACAGTGCTGGTGGACCTTGTGTGTCAGGCTGGGTTGGTTTCCGTCTGCCAGTGCACCACAAGGTCCCTCAACGCTGCCGTGCACGGCCGGCGCACTAAGCGAACGGGCGCTCACCTTGCCGGTGACCACCTCGCGCTCGAGTCTCCCCCCTGACTCTTTCCCCCTCCCTGGGTGCCTACAGGCAAGATCGCCGGCCTGGACGTGCTGCGCATCATCAACGAGCCCACGGCCGCGTCCCTGGCCTATGGCATTGAGAAGAAGAGCAACGAGACCATCCTCGTGTTCGACCTGGGCGGTGGCACCTTTGACGTGTCCATCCTGGAGGTGGGCTCCCGCTTTGACCCTTTCCTACCAGACCGCAAACTGCTTAGTGGAAGTGGCAGGGTGCAGCGAGCCTGAGATTGTCCTGCACAATGCAGAGAATAAGGGCCCAAACTTCTTGTTCCAATTTGGACTCGCTAGTTTTGGTTCTCTCAGTTTTGGGGTGTTCTCAGCCCGCCGTGTCCCCCTCTGCCCGTTGTTCACCTTGCCGTCCACACCGCGCACCCCGCAGGTCGGCGACGGCGTGTTTGAGGTGCTCTCCACCAGCGGCGACACCCACCTGGGCGGCGACGACTTTGACAAGCGCATCGTGGACTTTTTGGCGCAGGACTTCCAGCGCAACGAGGGCATCGACCTGCGCAAGGACAGGCAGGCGCTGCAGCGCCTGACCGAGGCCGCGGAGAAGGCCAAGATTGAGCTGTCGGCCCTCAGCCAGACGAGCATCAACCTGCCCTTCATCACCGCCACGGCAGAGGGGCCCAAGCACATCGACACGCAGGTGGGTGTCTGGCGCTGGCTTGCGTGGTGGTGGGTGTCAATGCACCAGGCCACGCGGGCAGTGCGCAGAAGCTCTGGAGCGAGCATGCAGTGACAGCGGTATTATGCTGGGTACAGGCACAGTGCAACATATGTTGGTGTGGATGTTGGGCCCCGGCACCCCCCCCCCCTAACATCATGCCAACCGCCGGCCTCTGACGCGCTCCCGGCACGCGCACCCGCAGCTGACGCGCGCCAAGTTTGAGGAGATGTGCTCTGACCTGCTGGACCGCTGCAAGCGCCCTGTGGAGCAGGCCCTGCGCGACGCCAAGCTCTCCATCAGCGGTGCGCGCCGCCGCCTCTCCGCTGCACATTCAGCACCCCTTCGCCTGCTGTGCTCCCACTCGCAGCACTCACACTTCTGGGCACCGAGCAGCTCATGCTTCTCCATGTGGATCCGCCCGCGAGCCGGCCTGCCGCAGCTCTCTGCTGACTGGGACCCCCATCCCATCCCATGGGAACCCGCCCTGTTGTACTGCAGAGGTGCAGGAGGTGATCCTCGTGGGCGGCTCGACCCGCATCCCCGCGGTGCAGGACATTGTGCGCTCCATCGCCGGCAAGGACCCCAACGTGTCGGTCAACCCCGACGAGGTCGTGGCCCTGGGCGCCGCCGTGCAGGTGGGCGGGGCGCACGCTTGTTATTTGGCGGGGGCTCCTTCACGGGCATGCTGTGGGGGCGAGGGTCGGTACCTGGATTCGTTCAACATTGCAAAAGCTTGGTGCAGGCAGTCGTGCATTTCTCAAGCGGCTGGCTCGCACCCACTGACGCGCAGGCCGGTGTGCTGGCTGGCGAGGTGTCGGACATTGTGCTGCTGGACGTCACCCCCCTGTCCCTGGGCCTGGAGACGCTGGGCGGCGTGATGACCAAGCTCATCCCCCGCAACACCACCCTGCCCACCTCCAAGAGCGAGGTGCGCCGCCACCTGCAGCTTGCTCAACTTGTCGCCCAGCTGCGCACCGCCTGCCGCCTGCCGCGCTTCATTAGGTGCCGGCCGCAGCACCTTTTCGTGCTATTTTCCGGTTTTTCACCCATTTGTGTGACTCCTGCCCTCCATGCCATGGTCGCGACCCACCCAGGTGTTCTCCACTGCGGCCGACGGCCAGACCAGCGTGGAGATCAACGTGCTGCAGGGCGAGCGCGAGTTTGCGCGCGACAACAAGAGCCTGGGCACGTTCCGCCTGGACGGCATCCCGCCCGCCGCGCGCGGCATCCCGCAGGTGTGCCTCCCTTCTCGCTCGCCTCGCGCCGCTGCCAAGATTCGCTTCGCTTTGATCATGTTGGGAGGACGCTGAGGCTGTGTGCCGCGGTCTGCAAAAGGCCTGGGTGCTGCGGCAGTGCCTGGGCGTTGCCGTGGTGGGGTTGCATGATGGGCGCTCACTCCTGAAGCACACTACCAGCCGTCACTGTCGTCCTCTAAGAGCGTTTGATGACCCCGACCCTAACTCTGACCCGGACACCCCTCAACGTTCTCGCCCCCGTCCCCACCAAACCTCCCAGATCGAGGTCAAGTTTGACATCGACGCCAACGGCATCCTGTCGGTGACGGCCACCGACAAGGGCACCGGCAAGAAGCAGGACATCAAGATCACGGGCGCCTCCACCCTGGGCAAGGACGAGGTTGAGAAGATGGTGAACGAGGCCGACAGGTTTGCGGAGGAGGACAAGAAGCGGCGCGAGGCGGTGGAGGCGAAGAACAGCGCCGAGGGGCTCATCTACCAGACGGAGAAGCAGCTCAAGGAGTTTGCGGAGAAGGTGGGCCGCGCAGCGAGGGAGGGGGGCATGGAGAGAGGGTGACAGCTGGGAAAGCCGAGGTGTGTGCGTGTGTGGGATGAGACAGCGGAGCATTGAAGGATGGCAGCTTTGGCGCCACACAGGGGTATATTCGGTGCATGAGTGCGGCGCGGTGGCCCCCCAAAAATACGTGAGGTGCTATTTCTCAATGATTGCTGGCATTGCTGTCCCCATCTTCTGACACCGTCCACTCACCCATCCACCTTCTCGCCTTGAAACCTGACAGGTCCCCGCCGAGCTGAAGGCCAAGGTTGAGGAGAAGGTCAAGGCCGTGAAGGACGCTGTGGCCGAGGACAACACCGACAAGATCAAGGCCACCTCGGAGGAGCTGCAGAAGGAGGTGATGAACCTGGGCGCCGCCGTCTACAGCCAGGGCGGCCAGCAGCAGCAGGCGCCCGGCGCCGAGGCGCCCGGCGGCGGCGCGGCGCCTGGCGGCGGCTCGGCGCCCGGCGGCAGCGGCAAGGGCGACGATGGCAGCGTGATCGACGCCGAGTTCACCGACAAGTAAATGCGAACGTCCTGTGTATCCGGGGCCCCTGTGGTGCCCCCCGTGGCCCTGCCCCTGGCGCCGAATTGACTTGCGCCTGGTGGGGCGGGCCTCGCAAGTGATGCTGCTGTACGCCTGATGCGGCGTCATTTGGTCCGCATCGCGCGCCTTGCTACCTGGCTCTGCCTGTCTCAATTTTGTTCTCGAGGGCTGCTGCAATTTTTTGATGCCTGTGAGCGGAACACAAGCTGCCTTGCCAAGCCCGGCGCCCCAACAGTGGGCGTCCCCTTTCTACCAATGATATTGTCAATCTTTGGTAACAGCTCTCATATTCTTTGGGGCAATTGGGGTTAGTGTTGTACAGCTCTGCAATGGTGGCCAGACCTACAGTGTCATGTACAAGTATCTTGCCTCACCATCTCTGGCTTGCCAATGCTGGTGCGGTTTCAAACACACTCATCGCTGCCTCGGTATGCGTTCCAGCTAGAGCTCATCCTCAACCCCTGGTGGTTGGCGACTACGACCCTCAAGCCAGTGATGTATTCTTCTATACTAAATAGCTATTGGATTACGCTGACTGCCAACAGTTTGTGCACTCAGGGCATGTTGATCATCACAAAGCATCGGTGGGGAGGTTGCGCCGGAATGGCCATGACCAGGCCTGGCCATGACGGTGGATGACGCAGCCTAGTGGTGTTCCCTACGTTGTAAAATACGTGTCCTTCCTGCAACATGATCAGTCCTAGCTGTACGGCGAGGTCACCGTACTCCGCGCCAAACAAGTTTGAACGCTACTCTGCTTCACAGCTGGGCTTTCCCACTGGTTGGGTGCCATTTTGTTCAGAACTTGTGTGGTGAATGGGTCTTCTACCGTAACTATAAACAACTTTTGCCTGATCTTCCCGTGCCCCGCGGGCAAAGGTGGGTTGAAATCATCACATTGATCGTTACATTTATCGCATGATTTGGCGGCCTGGAAAAGCCTTGGTCTGCAGCTGCGCGAGAGCCACCCGCGTTCCTGCTGGCCGAAATTGCGTGCTCACATCTTCTTTGCAACAAAGGCTTTCGAAAATATTATCAGCAACCCCATGGCCGGGGTCTCGTCGGAGTGGGACTGATGAACAACACCATTTCATCGGCGTGACCGGCAATCAGGGACACGAGGCAAGTGGTTGATTCTGGCGAGGACACCAGCGGGGCCATTGCCATGGGCAGCCAAGGTGAGCCGCGGGCGCATGGGGACGGTGGGCAGGGCGGCGGCGGCGAGCACGGGTGCAATGGCCTGCGAAGCGATGCGATGCAATGCTTTGGGGTGGCGCACCAACAGCTGTTGCCTACCCCCTGCACATAGCCATGCATTTGTCAGGATTGTGCATATCCTGCAACACCTGCTCATGCTGACGTGTGCCCAGCGCACAGTCTTGCTATCACTTCGTTCAAAGTGGGCGCCCCACTGCAATGGCCCCCTCATGCCCACCTTACCCATTCGCGCAGGCGTCGCACAAGTCCCGCATGCTGCTGCTGCACTTTCTCAAGGACCTCGCGTCAGCCGCTTCAGCATCCTGGATGCCGTCGCCGCGTTTGACCAGGATGGCGGCGGCGACACTGTGACAGCCTGCAGGCAGGCGCGGGACATCGATGCGGCGGCTGCAACCGCCACACTCGGGGGTACGCCATTGCTGTTGGGGGAGCAATGTGACGGCGACGGCCTGGGGCTGAGCATTCTTGGCTCCACGGCAGTGTGCGCACCGGCAGGCGTCGTCGCAGTGCGCGCTGCGGCGCATGCTCGGGACGAGGGGACCGCCCTGGGGGCCCTCGGCGTGTTGTGCGAGGCCGCGGCAGCCGTGTCGCCGGAGCGCCATGCTCCTTCCGAGCGCGCTGCACGAGACGCGCTCGTGGCTGAGCAGGCCGGCGCCGGGGCTGGGGTGGGCGCGGGGAGGCTGCCGTCCAAGGAAGAGCACAGCGCGGAGTCGCAGCGGTCGGAGCAGACTCAGGGCCAAGCGTGCGCGACGTCGACGCCCCCACCGCCAGCATCCGCGCCTCCCAGCGACGAACAGCGGGCGGGGCCCGCCGAGCAACATGGTGGCGGGGTGAAGGGTTTGGCAGGCGGGTCCGCACAGCAGGGCCACCACAGCCAGCAGCAGCAGCAGCAGCAGCAGCAACCGCAGCAGCAACACGAGCAACATGCGCAGCAGCAGCAGCAGCAGCAGCAGCAGCAACCGCAGCAGCAACACGAGCAACATGCGCAGCAGCAGCAGCAGCAGCAGCAGCAGCAGCAGCAGCAGCAGCAGCAGCAGCAGCAGAGCGATCACCAGTTAGCGCACCATTTGCAGGCACTGTCACCCCAGCAGAAGCACCTCATCGCGCAGCAACAGCAGCTCTTCCGGCGGCGCCAAGCGCAGCACCAGCAGCAACAGCAGCAGCAACAGCAGCAGCAGCAGCAGCAGGTCAGCCACCAGCACCACCACCAAGAGCAGCAGCAGCAGCAGCAGCGCCTGAAGCAGCAGCACCTGCAAGAGCAGCTCCTCCTGCGGCAGCACCTCCAGCAGAAGCAGCAGACCCTGCTGGGCCTGCTGCAGCAGCACCTACAGCAGCAGGACCCTGACCAGCAGCAGCAGTGGCGGCAGCAGCTGCACCACGAGCAGCAGAAGCAGCAGCGGGTGTGGGAGCTGCTCCTGCAGCGGCAGGAGCAGCAGCGGGCGCACCTGCTGCAGCAACAGCAGCTGCAGGCCGCATCGCCCGCTCCCTGTGTACCCCGCTCAAGCGCAGGCATCCTCGGGCTGCTTAGCACAAGCCACAGGGCACTGGTGGACGCCCACCTGTGCGCGCGCGGCCTCGACACCGCGCCCCCTCGCAAGCAGCTGCGCTCACCGGACGCCGGCGGCCGCGGCGATGCGGCCGCGCGCGGCGAGCCGCCTGCCAAGCGGCGCGCCCGGGGCGCGGTCTCGCGTGTGCCGATCGCGGCGCTGCTGGAGGCGGCCGGCGCGGACGAGGAGTGCGGGGCGGCGGCGGACAAGCGGCTCTCAGGGGACGACGGCGCGGGGCTGACGCTCAAGGAGCAGCGGCGACGGGCGCGGCTGGAGCGGGAGCGCAGCAGGCTCGCGTACGACAACCCGGGCCGGGCCTTCCTGAACGGGGAGGCCCGCGTGCGGCGGGTCCGCGCCGAGGGGGAGGACGACGAGCCGGGCGCGCCCGGCGGCGGTGAGGCCCCCGCTGCGGCCGACGGCGGCGCCGCGCCTGGCGCG